GGTACATGTAGTGCATGTACCATACATGTATAAAACATGTTTAATGGCATCCTATACATGTGTCCATGTATATGTACATGTACAATGTAGTTATGCCTTAATTAAATGTCTATACACCAGGTGGAATGCAAACATACAGGTTGTAGTGTACATTGTGTCATGTCATTTGCCTTAGTCTGTCCAAAGATGTGGTTACAAGGAGCTATTAAAGTCTTATAGCAATACCACATGTGCCAATTGGTTTGCCATGTGACATTTTAATGAATCAATCAAATTGCTGCAAATTGTAACCAGAGGGGTGTTGACTTTGAGATGGGGCAATTCTCAACCTCGGGGAATTACATGTACATTAACATGTACCACAGGAATTTAGGAGCATTTGGACCAGTAACTGCAACCACACATGCTCCTCTGCCAACAAATTTGAAAGCTCTGTGTACCAATATGGCATGGAGCATTAAACTAGGGGCAGTGTTGTGCATTTTCAGTGAATGAATGGATTTGTGCAAAAGGAATAAAAAAGGTCACCATGCGAAATGTCGTGTTATTGTTTCATTTATATTCTGTCAGCTGCTTGACTGTGTAAATAGACATGTAGATGTGTCTTCTCATTTTAATGAACGTTTTAAGTTGCTTAATAACAACATTGCGTGATTCAAAAATAGATAGATAGATAGATGGATGGATGGGAGACAATTCCAATTAAATCCGGCTTGTTGACTCCCTGTAAATTTTGGTTGATTTTTCCCCAAAATTCTTTTATAAACAGCAGCAGTTTTGTTTGGTACGTGTTTGTCATCTTTACAACTCAATAACTTTCTTGATAAGAAGTTGGCAACTTTTGCAGTAAATTAAACCTCAGTGTTGTTCAGGTGACTCTGAATGATCTGGAAAGTGACTTGTAAGAAAAACATACAATAAGGTCTTGCGTCCCTTCTAACGAGTGGACCGTCGGCACACTCAGTTAATGCATGCAAATTGCCGTCTGTCCATCCTTAAATCTAATAATGCCACCTCTGGAGTCTGGGCAGGGGGTTCAAAATTGCCCCCTCAAGTGTGGCGTGTTTGTAAATCTGCTCATATCTGACAAGCATTTGTTTTGGCTTTGGAGGAGTCGTTGGCCGGGATAAAGTTTGGTGTTTTTCCAGTGCCTCGGATGGACCAATCAAACGTTGTGCTAATCTGCCCGGGATTCAGACCTCCCCGTCAATTTCATGCAGGCTGCCAAAACATGCCTAATATGTATCTTCGTTCCTTTTTTTAATATTTGACTAGAAATATAGGTCATAGTGGGTTAACAGTCAAATTGATGCATTTGGAAGACAAAGTTGAGTAGACCAGTTTGCAGCCAAACTTTAGTGGTCAGTAGTAATATCCCAATCCACCAAATTTTAAACCAGATAATAAGTTTTGAGCAGAGTTTAGTTACCTATCAATCAAGTTGAGGCCATATGGCAGCTTGACCTCAAATTAAAAAAAAAAAGCTGCCGTAACAAGATATTGTAGTAGCCCTCAATCATTTTGGTATCAAAGATTTCTTCCGTGCCATCAGCATGCACCCTCCCCGTGCTCCTGGATCCCTCTCACAGTTACTCTGTACAGGTATCTCCTCATCCTGTCCACTAGCTCCTTGGCTCTCTTGTCCTGCCTGATTGATTGCACCTTCATGGTGGTAAGTAACAAGCTCCTCTTACATGTACATCATAGTTGGAAGTCGGGCACCTGTCAGCCCAGTGTCAAAATTGTCCCAGTTTAGGAAGGAACCAGTGACAACAAATTGTTTAATCTGGCAACCAGAATTAGATGCCATCACTGTGGTGATGCCTGCACAGGTTGTGTCTTTCAAATATCCCTGAGACCACTACATGAACAGTTAAGGTGTTGTGACTTGGCAAATTGCATGCACCACTAAATACAGTGATGCCTCATTGAATTCGTCTGTAGTCATTTCAACTGGTACAACGTTGCGTTTCTTCTCTTTTTTCCATCTCTTGATTTACAACTGGATGTCTCTTCTCCATCAAAGCCCTTATCAATTCTTCCAATTAAAAATGCTTCGATTCGATGATTGTGGTCCAACCTTAAAACTTCTGCCGATTAAGGAGTTGTGCCATTTGATCGATTTGGTCAGAAGAGGCAGCAAACTATGATGACTTCATTGCCTTGTTTCCTCCCTCACCATGGTGCCATCTGTGTGATTTATTATTTTGCTTTACATTACTTGTCCACTCGCCCGGTGTTCCTGTCTTGACTCTTTAAATCACCCCTCCAATTACAACATGGTCTGCCCCCTTCTCATCAATGCAATGAAAACAAGCGTTTGTTTGGGCTAGTATAAAATACGATCCACGGGATTGAATTAATATCACAGACAGGCCAGCTTGTACCACACATACTGTGCTCACCATTCCAAGTCCCTATCAATTATTAAAACTTTTTCTTCCCCCCCCCATGCTTTGGCCAATGCCGGCAAGGACCCCGTTTGTTTCAGCAAGGACGCGTGCGATTTGGCCAGTAATATTTCATCGGTCCACGCTCTAATGCCTGCCTAAAGTGAATACTGGAGATGGAAGTTGGAGGCTGGAATGAGATTTTTTTTTAATTAAATGCCAATTATGAAATGGCTGGTAGCACTCGACAGGGCTATTGGATTACAGCATAGAGTGGATTTCATAGCCTGCCTGTGGCATTTCATTTGTAAGTTGATGTGCTGTTTGGATGCCTATGGGACCTGTATGCATCACAGTTACTTTGTATCTATGTTTATTTGTGTACTGATGAAGAAGAGATCATTGACAGATAAATTGAACACTGTGATTACACTCAACTGCAAAGTGCGAGTGAGAAAAAAGAGACAAAAGAAAGCAAGTTGAAGGAAAAGACAAACGAAGAAATCCTTGCAGCATCACAACTTTTTTGCACTTTGGTTTAACTACAAGTAGACGTTTGCGATGATCACGTAAGGTACATCTGCTTATACGGGTAATTAAGACAATACATAACTGCTTTTGTTCATAATTACGCAGTGTATTTTAGTTCAAGATCTTTGTGGTTCTGGTTGGTTGTGGAGGAAAAAGAATAAAGAAAGAAAGCATTGTTCTCCTGAAAGATTCAAACTGTTTCGTTAAATTTTGTTTGATTCTGCACAGAATAAATATAGGTGATAAACCTTACTTTCTCCCTGTGACTGTTCAGAGGATTACAGTTGGGTTTTGTATGTTATCTGGAGTTTTTGTTAAGGTTTAATTTTTTGTTTATTAATTACTTTGTGTGTCCACTCATTTTTACTTCTTAGAATAAAACCTTCAGCTAATTTACCAACTGTCAGCTCTGACAAATGGGTTAATGAACCGAGAAAAACATGACATTTAGCCAAAGCAAAATCTTCCTCAGTGCAACCTGTTCTCAGTGGGCGAGCCATCCCCTCAGCAACTAAAGGATTAACCTGCTTTTGTGTGATATAAATCAACTGGCAAGTTAATTATTGTGGGGGCTTTATCGACATGTTTTTGGTCAAAGTCTTGACTAATTTGGGGCGGCAGATGACAGAATTATCAGTTAGGAGGTCTGTGAATGGAAATGCCACGGCATGTTAGTTTGATCAATAAAGGTTTGGTAAATGGGCCAGGTGGTTAAATGCTAACAAAATGTCATCTTGAAAGGATAGGGCCCGACCTGCTCCCCAATTTGTCCTTCTCCCCCCCTCGAGCTGAGAAAATAAACCCCCGCATCTCTCTAATGTTAGAATCATGCCAAGACAGGAGGAATGAGATGTGATGGTTTGTAGGGCATGCGTGACTGCCAGTGTCCATGGGAGTGACTGTCCAATGGTGTTAAGGGGTCTAACCAAGGATTGATCCAGAGCCTCGTTTTGGAGGCCAACATTTTTATGGGATGGGAGAAATGTCTGATTTGTGTGTGTGTGTGCATAGTCGTCATTGGCTCTCTCAAGTGTTGAGCTAAATTTGGGAACTTTTTACGCATTTTGAGGAGGTAAGGAAATGATATACATGTACTGTACCCTCCAATCGCCCTTATTTTAAGGTCCATTTGTCCACCCCACCTCCAAAGAACCTCCAGTGGGTTTTGTCCTACAATAAAGTTATGCAGTCAGCCAAACTTATCCTTTAACCTTGTGGTTGTTGTCACAAGGGTTTGTCTTTGAAGTGGAGGTTCCTTTCTTCTTTATTCTCCAGCACACCCCCCCCAAAACCCCTTTCTCCTGTTCCTTAATAATCAGGTCATCTTTAGTGGGAGGATCTAGGCAGTTAAATTTCAGAAAAGAGAGGACACAGCCTCATCTTTCGAGGCCTTCTCATTGTCATCATCTCCATCTAGAAAACCGTACCCATTCATAAGAATGGTAGCCTGACAATTTCCAGGGTCAAGGGATGTGGCTGCACCGTGCTTGCATTCCTCAATTCCTGCCATCATTGAAAGCAAACACCCTGGGAAGATAGTCTTGTTTAAAGGCAGATTAGGTGAACCCCAACCTCCAGGATTAAAAAAGGCTTATGATTTTGGGAGTGAGGATGTGTTGCTGGACACCATGAAGGGTTTTTCCATTCCTCACTTTTAAGGTCACACTTTTCTCCCAGTCAAGTTGGTCTAGTGACACCTGTCCTTCGGATGTATAACTTACAGGAATGTTTCAGTTTTTAAAATCAAACTTCTGGAAAATCTGATATCTTGTCAGATTCAAAGGGCTCTTCACTGGTTTTTCGTAAACTTAGTGTCTTTATATAGCTGTTCTCACATTCACCTGAATTAATTTGGACTGAAAGATTTCCACCTACAGATATATTCCTGTGTCTTTCTAGTTCTGTGTATTCTGCATGTACACATACCCAGCACTTGACACCCCTCTGATATAATTGATCATCCCATGGCAGTGACAAGTTATTTGCATATTAACTTTCCCTAAACCCCGCCTTCCTCCTGCTGGCTCTCCCTTGTCCAGTCAAGCGAGGGCAGGCTTGGTGAGCCCTGTTTGTTATATAGGGGAGAACCCTGGTTGCAGCATGCATTCAGTCAGTCAGTGCGTTGGGCAACCAATAGAGCCAGCTCCACCGTTATCTTTTACGCAGTAAAAGACAGAAGTATGTAGAAGTTCTTTGCCTCATTGCTTCTTGAGCAGAATTGAATGGACTGCATACAGTTCAGCTGGGAACATTGACTAAAAGGTGGAGAATCAGCAGCCAGTATCTTACAGTTCGATGCCAGAAACTGTTTTCTTGGACAGCACCAGTGTGGGGACTCGACCAACCCAGGAAACATGGTTGTCTTCTCTCATCAGTTTTGAACTTTTTTAAGCTTCTCATTTACGCTGATTGCACTTGCTAATCATGCTGCCCTGCTGGGAACTTGAATGGATGACAAGTAGTGCAAAACAGCATTGGCGGTTCTCTCAAAAAACTTCACAGTGATTGTCAAATTATCCAAAAGAGATACCTAGACTGGAACGGCACATGTGCGTCAGAGTAAAACGACATGAATGGTTTTCATTATCATTCTCAGCCCAGCTCCCACAAGACTGAATGCGGTTTTTGAAATATGCCCTAAATTACCAGCATCTTCGATGTGTTAGTCAGCATGAATCTCTGAGTGCAGAACTATGCACAGTGGGACAGACAAAGCCTTGCCCATGCTTTTCAACGAACCTCACTACATGACGTAGCGATACTTTTCTGATTAAGAACGTGAATTTTATCCGTCTATTGACCCAACAAAAGCACTGCTGCCATCCTGTGATTGGTTTACTGACTGCGACGAGCATCCTTCCGTTTTGTTGGCATCTGAAGAGAAAATCCTGTAACACGATCTCAACTGTTGTACTTGATGATATGCCAGGTCATAGACGTCACCTCTGCCAAAGATAATCCTCCAAGCCGTGAAGTTACATATTCCAGGCCAAGCATTTACTGTAAAAACACAGCACCAGCCGACCCACGGGGTGTTTGTTCCCAGCACTGACTGGAAACTACACGCTGTGAGATCCTGTGTCCTTTCAGATGCTATTTAAATCACCTACGATTCTAAGGTTTCAGCAGTCTGCCGTTGGTGTTTGAATGTTACTCCGAGGGAGGGCTATTTAGACCGAGCTCCTTCATTGTTGAGTCACATGTGTACAATTGATCCCGGTTAAAACTTCTACTTCATGGTTTGCCTGCAAGAAGTCTGTCACGTGCAGGGACAGCCAGTTTTCCAGTTTTGCTTTGTATTTCAGACTAATTTTTGCATCCATCCATTTGGAGGGAATGTTTTCAACCAGGCAAACTAGAGGAAAGCGACATTAAGGCTCACTCGCCCAGTGACAGTAGACGGCTAACTTGATCTATCGCACGGGGTAATCAATTTAACATTGATCCTATCGACGAGTAAGTCAATCAGTCTTTTACCAGTGGCCGGTAGCAAACGTTGGATCCTCCATCATTACTTTCAAAGCTGCCCGTATGAAGCAGTGGACGTGAGTATATATTGCCAACCCATCTGCTGCTACAGTGAAGCATACCCCCCCACAAACAGATGCTAATGAAATCCCTATCATCACTGTCCATTGAAATCAGCCCAATGGGCTGCTTTTTTTGCAACTGTGACAAGAGAATTGAAGACAGTTCATTTTACTGGAAATTGTCGCCCTCAGCCGGACACAGTTCTCCTTCCGTCAGAAGAAGCTGAAGTACATGCATTTTCCTCAAACTATTTTTACCCTGCAGGGGAAATTTGAAAAAAAGTGTAAAGAGCTTGAAAATCAGGAGGAGAACAGATCAAATTCTCTCTACCCATTAGCCCCGGGATTTTTCAACATTGTGCAAACGGCTGCAATTATCACAAACATCTTCGGCACTTTCTCTCTCTCTCTGAAGCCAGCCTTGGTGGTAAGTGCTTTCTGTGTATTGACAGAGCAGTTTGGGTTACTTTCATTTGTCCCCTGCCCTCTGCAGATCTTGAAATGTTGCTGAGAAAAACAGACTTGAACAAAATAGTGACCAATCTGTGTTTTCACTTCCTAAATGATCAGCTCAACCGCACTGATTGACTACTTGTTTCACAGTCTCTGCTCCTGAGAAACTCCGGTATCAACCAATTTCACAGATCAGTTTGTCATTTCATCCAGTCTCCCACTAAACTAACAAACACGACGGCCTGCATAATGAACCACGACGTGTAAATTACACATACTGTTAGTCTTCAGTAACACACTGTGGAGCTAGAAGAACTGAACAAAAGTCAGTGTTGGTCACAGATCCTGTTGACTCTGGAGAAGTTTTACCCGCCCTTTGTCCCTTGTCCAAATATGTTATTGTATATGTCAAAATCAAGTCTTTGCCATATGCTTGTTGACTACGGTGAACAAACAACCACCAGAAGAGATTCACACAGGTTTTTGGGGCTGAAAATATTTGTTGCCACTGACTGGGCATATTAGTGAAAACTGTCAGACTTGAGTGAAGTTTGTGATTGTATTAAACATGGCATTGGAGAAAGCCTCAAGCATCATGTTGACCACCACGGGATACACAGAGGAGCTGGCATTGGGAATGGGATTGAACAACTCAGATTTGGATGCTCCACACCCCTTATCAGGCCTTCAGGGTGTGTCCTTCATCGTGACATGTATCCTGTGCAGTATGGGATTGATTTGTAATGGCTTCATCATTGTCATACTGATCCGATTCCCCAACATGAAGACCCTAGCCAATAACTTCATCCTTAACCTGGCCCTGGCGGACTTCTTCTTCATGATCTCCTACTTGTTCATGGGCCACCAATTTAAAGTTGGTCAGTGGGTCTTTGGCACCTTCCTGTGCCGTTTGATTGTGCCCTATGATGCCATGACCCAGTTCGTGGTCATCGACTTTGTCATGATCATGAGTGTGGATCGCTACTTTGCCATCTGCCTTCCCATCAAGTCCATGAATTTCCGTACCTTGCGCAATGGCCGCATCACAAGCGGGGTAATATGGTTGGTCGCGATACTCTCCACACTGCCCATGTGGATCTACACCGATCATGTTTGCTTTGTTGACAAGTGCGTGTGCCTGGCTAAGGTCTCATCTGCTCCCATTGAAGAATCCAACAACCGCTGGTGGATCATCTACACTGTCATCATCGGATTCTGTGTACCGCTGGTCATTATTTGTATCTGCTACCTTCTTATCCTTCACCAGCTCTTGATCAACCCAATGCAGGATTCTAGCTGTAAGAACACCAGCCGACGAGCTGCTCGTCGGGTGGCCATCCTGGTCATCTGCATCATCATTGTCTTCATCCTCTGCTTTCTCCCCTTCTACGTGGTCCAGTTTATCATCACCACCTTGGAGTCCCACACTAATGCCCTAGCCATATCCAGCATCATAACCTTGCATCTCATGTACTCCCACAGCATTATAAATCCCATTGTCTACACACTGGTGGGTGAGAACTTCCGCAAGAACATTGCCTTCATTTGCTGCAGGCGGCCACGCAATGCTACCGGTATGTATTCCCGCCAGAGTAGCATGCGTACGTCAAGCTTTCACAGTCGCCGCATGCGCAACTCCCTGAAATCCACCAACAGCAACGATCCGGCAGGTTTGCGCCCCCACAATGGGTACTATGTCCATCTGGACACCAGCCAACACCGTGGTGCCAGGGAAGATCCAGTGTAATTACGTGTAAATTATGTAAATTAATGTACATCAAATAGCACTTTAACTTGTACATTTCATATAAAAAATAATGTTTAGATAGTACTTAAAATCTCGAGTGCCATGTACAGTACATGTGTATTTCTAGTTGCTTGAAAAGTGGCTTTTTATATGTAAATAAGGCAGCAAGTTATTTAAAAAAGTGAATGTACATGTATAATGTAGTTATAACCTAAAACGAAGATACAGTACGAGGTTGAAGTGCCAAAATCATTCAATACCGGTATGTAGCGCCACACGTAGGTCACATTTTCCATGAACTGCAGTCACTTTTAGTATATTTGGGTGTTATTATTGTATTTTTGCCCATTGATTTGTGCTAGTTGTGTTGTTGTTAAAAGTTTGTTTACGATTTTGGCATGGAAATGGACTGTCCAGCATGGCAGTCTACTAAGCCTAACTTTTTTCTCAGCAGAAATCAGTCACCAACCCAAAACCACCTGATTTTTTTTTAATTTGTAGTTCCCCGTTTGATGATGTTAGCTTCAGTCAATTAAGAACAAAGCATATGTAGCTGAGCAGTGTCTCCTATTTGTGGGCTGTATGAGATCAGGAGCTGGTCTGTTCCATTTGGAATGAGATTCAGATTTTCAGAATAAAATTTTGAAATCTGATATGTGCCTGTGCTTCTTATAGAGTACTGAAGTGCATAGGTCATGTGCACATTTGTGTGCAAAAGGCTCTGGTGCAAGAACCAGTATGTTAAACCAACATGCTCCACCTCTCCATTTCGTTTGGACTGCACTTCCAGGTTCAAAATGACATCACACTTTGGTACTCTATAGGGCATAAAGTTCTCTCCTTGTAACGATTTTCTTTTCAATTCATGTTTGTTCAAAAACATGGTTTTTATGGTAGATAATGCTTAACAGATGTGTATATGTACCTGTACATGTGTGTTGTTTTCGATTTTGTGAAAGGGGTTGGGACCAACAAGCACAGGCAAACCTTCCAATGTTCCCCACATTTCCACAAAGGATCTTGTAAATATGTACATTGCAAAATTTCACATAAAGTGCAACTTCAAGTAAATATGTGTAATTATCTTTGATCGAAAAGCTTTGCTTGGTGTACAAGGCATGAAAAAAAGAAAAGTCGTCATGGTGTACTCTGAAAGCAGAAATCAGTGTAATAAGTAAATATTATGCACAATAATTATACACAAATTTTGAAGCCAGTATGCTCTAGAAAATCTTTACGCCTAAATGTATCCTGGAGTGACTTTGTTTTCACATTATACACGTAGTCCAATCTGCAACAATCTCTCCAATCTCAGTTCCCCACTAATGGCTGTCTCCAACACTCTCCAAATGACATTTAGAGTGGGAGTTCTGTAGGGGTCAGCCAGTGAAGCTTTCTGTAGAGATTGATGTCCAGAATTTTTACAGGTTCAAAGAATCTGCCGTTGGATCATTGTGTGTAATTTTGTTGGATCCAGGAAGCTGCTTCTTCAAGTTGTCGTTGAGTTGGGGTGACAAGTATCTCATGATTCCAAAGTTTCAATGTTTAAGGTGAAAACTATGTTTAAGCATGTGTTCTTTAAGAATTGGGTAAAAAGGTACATTAACTCGTCTGGCAAGGTCACGTGCATCCCATGTCTCCATAAAAGGTAACTGACGTCTGACCAAACAAACTAGTCAATATCTTTATTAATTTCTCTAGAAATGCCAAAACGTCTGTCAGTTTACGTCCATGTAGCTCAGAGGTTTCAAATCAATACAACTCTTAGTTGAAATATGTAAGATTTCATCACAGAATTTACTATTTCTGACATCCTAGTTGGGTGCAGGATGTACGTGTACATGTATACAAGAATTAATCAATGTAAGTTGCATAAAGGTTCTGTCTACCGGGTTTGTCAGATACACAAAGTAATAAAAATGATTGAAAGTGTGCAGTAGTGTAAATCTTATAAGATATGTAAATTGTAAAAAATAGATACTTCTATTGACAAAAATATATATGTGATTTTGTTTTTATGTACTATGTTGAACAAAGAGTTCTATATGTGAGGAACATTTAAAAATCTGGCAGCTAATAAGTTATGATGAACTGTGGCATATTATTATTGACTGTAAGTGCAAAAATTGCAACTAAAAGTAAGAAGGATGGAAAAATTGAGAGTAGGCTTTTTATTTGAGACAGATCAAGTGAGGTACTGGATCATGTGTCAAAGTACAGGTTAATTTTGAAGTCAGTGTGAAGCCTGAAAAACTTATTGGTTGATTGCATGAATTACACCGCAATATTCATCTTTTTTTCCATTGAAACACTCAGTACTGTGACAAATATCCATACTCTCACATCTTATGCTCACAAAATTTCCAGATTTTTCTAAAGGTGGCCCCCCTTTCCTTTTTAATTGAGTTTGTTTATAGAACTTTTGTCATCATTAACATTCAAACTTGTTAGTTTTTCCTGTCGCTTCCCTGGGTTTTGAAAGAACAATTTTTTGTGTTTTTTTTTAATAACATGAAGCAAATTTGACAATCCAGCTGCTCTTTGCAGTTTGACCAATGGATGACAGTGTAAATCTGTGAGGCAGTGGTAATGTAGGCCTACAGATAGTATGACCAGTGTGACATTAAAAGTATATTCCATACATGTACCCTGTAAGAACCGTACAATGACCTACAGTACCCCTTACTTGCCCTGAAGGGTATGTGTTAGAAAGCTGTCAGCTGGAAAGAAAAAAAAAACGCTTGCCGTAACCTGCCAGATTCATGTGTATTTCTTGAGCTCGGTTGTGGTTGTTGGAAAGCCAGCGTCAACATGTACCCCCCCGTAGCTGTATGCATGTGGGTATTATGTTCCTCTGCACAGCACCAGTTTCATGTACTGCTGAAATGGGTTAGAATAACACAGATCCAGGTGAAATTTCCTGGAGGCTTTGTACTCCATCAAAGGATTAAGTCCCCAATCCCCTCCTCCCTCCCCCCCCACCATGTCTGACAAGGCTGGCCACTGAATTGACTTCTCTGATTCCGATTGGAGAATGGGGCTGTGGAAGATTGTGGTTTATCTGGAGCAAATGTATTGTGTGTCTAGTGTAAATGTTGCAACTCAAGGAGATAAGGACGCAAACAAGAGTGGGAGGGGAAAGGTTATGAGTGTTTGTGTTGGGCGGTGTGCTTGGGTGTTAGTGTGAGTCTCCATGTGGAGAGAGTGTTGAGGACAGAGAGTTTAGGCTCATCACGCAAAGTGAGTTTACAGACATGTTGCTAGTTCTGTCAGGGTGTATCAATGCAGCAACTGGTCTGCAGGAGAGGACGCTGAATATCAATGTAAATTAGAATCAACTCTCCACCCACCTTCCCTGGCAAAGTTCATGCTCAGAGCATTTTTCAAGCACAATGAAAGTTTGTGATATCAAACACCTTGGCACAAGCGTTAAACCCCAGTGCTTTGGTTAACCTGACCCAATCAGATGGCCTCCCGAGAGCGGATGCCCGACAAAGAGATGTGTGGGAAGGACGGAAGAGCCAGAGTAGAGTGTCGAGGAGATAAAGAAAGAATGAATGGCCAGAGAGATGATGGAATTGTATTAGGAGGGAATTTGGAGTTAGAGGAAATTTCAAAAGAAACTGAAAGAAGGTTGTAGAGTATCCTAGGTTCCATTAGTGCTGAGAGTTTGGGTAATAATGGATGCAGAATTCTCTCACTTTTACTTTTTGGGGGAAGGTAGGTCGAGGACTGTGAGATAATAACATTGGTGTTTGCATGAGAAGGAAAACCTTGACACTAAAGTTAATGTAGGATGTACATGTACAATGTACTTGATATTCCAGTCTGTGGTTTAGTAATCTATCCAGACATATATATTAGCAGTATCTATTAAGTGTGCAGAATGCATTGCTCAGTGTGTGGAACAGCAATTTCAAGTCATTTTCAGACAAATGATTTCAGGAAGCCTGTTTTTTTTTCTCGTAGTTCACTGTTGCCAGTGTAAATGTCACCAAGACACTAAGTGCGCCTCTTCTACTGTTTGCCCATGAGTGATAAATTTGTTTAAAAACTCGCCACTGGTAGGGTACATTGTTTGAATGTTAATAAAACTCTATGATGTGGAGAATTGTATTACTGTGTCCACATTGACATATGTTATTGGTTTCCAGGTTTTTTTTTTTTTGCAGTCGGTAATAGAAATAGTTTACTCATGCGAAATTAAATTGTTAGGGACTGTTTGCTCATCTGACTAATCTTAAGGAAAACTTTCTTTCATGAGATTTTCTTTTTTTTTAGTATTTTCTCATTTCCTGACATCACAGGAGATGTAGTTGGTTACGTACAGGAGAATTCTATTACAGTTATTTCTTAACTGTAATAGAATTGCTCTTGGGAGTCTTTTTTATTCTGGTCATTTTAGATAGTTTTGAATGCATGTGGACATTTAGATAAGACATGTTAATTCCTCAAAACTTCAGGAACACCCAGTCAAGGAGAACTCAACAGCTGCACCCGTCTTTTGTTCCCTACTCAGAATAACAAATATATGTACCACAAATTTTTCAGAGATGGAGTTTGATCAAAACAGTTCCGATTTGAAACATTGGTTTTTAAAAAATTTTTCCTACACAGGTACAGAATGTTTGTAACCAAATTCAACATATTTCCAAGTGATAAAGTAATTAATTGTAGCCAACAACACCAGCAACGAGCAAACAAAAGCAAAACCAAACCTCAAAAAGACCTTGAAGTAATTCATGCTCTGCCTTGTCTCATCTGGGAAAGATATACCGATAAATATTGAAATTTCACTTTTCAGTTACAGTTTGTTGTTCATACTAGCTCTCTGCAACACCAAACACTGCCATATTCTTATCCAAAAAAACTTCCCTGTGGCTTCTCAGCATCGCTTAACTGCCCAGGGGCTATTAAAGTCACTTGATTTATTTATTCATGTTTTTTTTTTACCAAATATTACCTGCAACATGGTTTGTCACCAGCTGTTGCTAGGACCTCTTGGCTTGACCTCTGAGATGGGTTTGCATCGCTGAAGTTTCAAGAACTGGTAAAAACAAGTTTACAAGTAGACCCTGGTGACTGCATGTAGGCTTGCCAGGCTGCAGTGGTCAGACAGCCGCCAGTATCTGATGACGGCCAAGGAGTGAGAAATGTCCCTGGCACCAGGCAAAGAAGTAACATGGAAGTAATCACTGTCAAATCATTTTGACGTGCATGCCCCACTGTAGGTTTTTTTCATTGTTGGACTCCAATTAGACTTGGCCACTCTTGAGGTCGACAACCTCTGCTGGCTATATCAGGCTCCATCTGACCCAACATATTTTTCTCTAATATGACATCCTTTGGAAGGGTGGCATGAAGCAATCCTGATGGTTTCTCACATGCGTGAAGTAAAATAGGAAACAAAAGTTTCTGTTGTGCTGTTTCATTTGACAGTAAGGAATAATAGTCCAATTGACTTCGTTTGAGCATTTCATTGGTGCCTGTAGGATTATTGCTTACTATTTTGAGGCTGAACCCATTGTCATGCTAAGTATTGGTGCTGATGTCAGACCTTGCCAAGGTTTTGTACAAAATGTACCAGAGCTGAAGACGGAATATTTTTTATTTGCATAGGGATGGGCAAAAATAAATAAAACACAAACATTTACTAAATTCAAGACACAAAATGTTACTTTCTCTTTGACCAGAAATGACTGGACAGCATGGATATCTTTTCCCCCTCTAAAATAAGAACAAAGATAAACTCCTAGATCCAGCAACCTTTCTCCCTTTGCCAATTTGCATCCTACAGTGCTGTCAGCAGTTGTTGCGTGCCAAACGCAACTCCTAATAGCCAATTAACAGAAACCACTCGGGGTACTTTGGTAAATTACATGGTGTGTCTCTTTGCTGGAGATGATGCTCGCTTGTCTGTGCATCCTTCAAGTGCTAAGAGACGTATCGTCTATTCATCCCAATCCTTCATTAATTGGTTCCTTATTCAATTCAGCAGATTCATTTCAGACACCAGTGATACTGGTATCTTGTGCCTTTCATGAGTAATTGGTAGGACTTAGTTGTTGGAAATTCAGGAGCCATAGAATGATATAAAAAAAAGTCCATTTCGTGACAAACCAGTTCAGTTTGACAACAAGTGCTTATTTGGAATGTTATTCTTGAAGTCTTTTTTTTCCTACCCCTTCTCCTACTGTGTTTCTTTTTACTCTTACCATCTCAGTTGTTTCCCCTGGTTGCCCTTTTTCAGATGCTTTGATTTAATCAACCTAAAGTGAAAATCCCAGATCTAGATGCACCTCTGTCTGGTCCTTTTTAGGTTTAAACATGTTCTCGATTGTTCCCTTCCTTCCAAATAAACTTTGGTGGCGATTGGTCTGTTAACTTGGTCACTGAACTGCTCAGTTACATTTTCCATTTTATGGACAACTTCAGTCTTGCAATGATCAGTGGTTTTTTTTTATGGTTTCCACTTGCAATGTGTCATCTCAAAAATGTTCTTCGTCCTTACAATGCCTTCCAGTCTCCCCCTTCTACTAAATAGGCTATGTCTTCCCGACACACACTAATTGCCCGGTTCGAGTTGCTGATATCTCTAACAGATGAGGAAGAAACTTGACTGGGAGGACCTGCCTGGGTTGTCCCCTCTCCGTCCAAGCGAGGGCTGACGCCCGTATCCAGGTCGAATCGATGACAGCACTCTGTAATAACGGGCAGCTGGTGATCAGCGAGAGAGAGGAGGAGGAAAAGGAAAGGAGCCGGCCAGAAATAACATAGATGGGATGAGCAGTCAACCTACAAACATGTTGTAGTCAAGTTGTTTTTCATCATCGTCGTCGACTTTTAATTTGCTTATTCCTGCCTACATTTTGTTGTTTTGTATCAATTTGTTGGATTCTCTTTTTAAAAAAAATGATGATGGTTTCAAGCTTTTTGGGACATTTGAGCATGTAAGCCCTGGGATATGTTTATATACACTTAATAGTTGTATATTGCAAAATAATATGTAATCATCAAAGACATACTGACTTTTTGATAGGATTGAATTGTTTAATATGCATATAAGTTCGTTGAGATTTTAAATTGTTTCGTGAATCAAAAAAAAATATTGGCAGATTCTGTGTTGTTTTTTGCTTTACTTGAAAAGCACGATGAAACAAGAAAAGCATTCTTCCCTTTGTGACAAAATTAAAAAAACTCAGGTGTGTGCTAAAGGTGAAGCCAATCAGTTACGTAACATGCTATCTGAGAAAGAAAAATAGAAGACTTTTTTAATTGCAAATGAAAACCAATGTTTGCCAGTGATGTATGACCATATGGACCCTGTGAGCAACCAATCAGCTGTAGATTATACTTTTCTGGCCCATGTCAATCTTGTCACCTGACCTTACTTTTCACTCAAGGGTGGTATTTTGCTTCTCACTGGGTGTTTAGTCGGTCGACCTTTTAATCCATACTATCGGTCAGTTTGGTGTGATACATGTAGCGTGATTAATTACATGTAGCTTTGCATCACGTGGACCAGTTCCCATCAGGATAACAAATAAATTTATCAAAGGGACCTAGGGCAGCTAACAAATTGGTTGCCATCCTTTTTTGGTTTGTTTGTTTTTTTTAGAAAAGCCACCATTATCTTTGAAAACAATCCCCTCAAGGACTGTCGGTAATTAAATTTGTCCATATGTCGATACCTGACAATCACACGTACAAACATCTTTGTCCAATGAAAGGCATGTGCCAGTGTGTGCAAAGAAAACATTTATTTAGAGAAATCAGTGAGAAGAGTTGTTGTATTTCTTGTGATCATTACATCAGCGGCACACTTTTTCTCCAACTGTTCTTAATAGAATTAGACTGCTGAGTCATGAACAGGGTCTCAACCAAATAAACCAGTCCAAAACATCCCCAGGAATCATCCTCAAAGACTAAAAATAAATTGCGAAAGTCTCTTCAGAAAAATTGTAGGTTTAATATCATTACGCTGTGATCAAATGCACAGCAAAATTGGGGACTTTTCAACCATACTTTAAAAATAAAAAGACTGTCAGCCTGGAGGGGATTGAGAACATCAAATTGCATAAGAACTGTATTAGGGCCTGACAAAATCAAGTAAGGCCCTGACTGTGTTGACAAAATATTCTCTTTCTGCCCGTGGCAAATTGTAAGAAATTTAATTTTTGGCTGTTTTTTTTTTTAGATAAGATATAACTAGATTTTTTCCACAATGTCAAGATTGTTTTTTTTTTTTTATGGAAAACTTCCCCCTGGCGTATTGTGAACTGTTTGAAGTGCTGAGATGCTGAATGTTGGCTCTCTGTTCTCCTAGATACACGTAGGTGTGTAAAGGAGGACGGTATTTGGTGCGGGGATTGATGTTCACCTGTCGACTTGATCATTAAGGGGGAAGGAAAGGACTGTGGACTATGTAGAACATATGACCCTTGCTTGGTTTGCAAAGCTCTTTTTGTTTACATTTAGAACGATGCGCCTACGGGTATAGCATAGCATACCGGTATGCCTGTGTTTACAACTTTCAGTGCAGTAGACCATGGTAAAGTTAAGGGAAGATCTAAAAAACAGTCAATGCGCAAATGAAATACATCTGATGAACTACGTGGGAAGGTACATGTACGTACATGGACATTTGATTTGAGTTGTCACACACGTATGTTCACTCCCATGCCTTTGTGCACCACTTAGCGGTAGTTGAGAGTTTGCACATGCACACCGTTCCGTCTGCAGATGGAGACCATAAGTTATTTTTTTAAAAATACAAAGTTCGTAGAGATAAACTGATAACTAAAAATTGATAAGACAACAAAATTTGAAACAAATTCTGAAGAAGTGATTGAAAAAAATAAATAAACATCGTTTGATTTGAAAGAAAATGCCCTGTACATCAACGGTCTTTCCCATTCGAAAACCATTTCTCCAGCTTATCCAAACTAACAAAACAAAGAGCCATGTGTAGTAAGACCTGATCAAAACCTTGGGTAGTAGTTTCAAGTTACTTCCAATGGAATATTTTTCACCACTTCTCCAGCTTATCCAAACAAACAAAATAAAGTGCCATGTGTAGTAAGACCTGATCAAAAGGTCGGGTAGTAGTTTCAAGT